TTCCTCTCTCAGCATTCGCCACGCTATCGGCCGCTCTCGGCTACCTGCAGCACGGGGGGTTGCATCTCCACTCTGACATTGCAGTCTTGTGGAATAATGATGCACCTCCTATGTCCAGCTTTTCCCGCTCTGTACAAATATTCAAGCCTGGATTTAATTAATATACCAAAATCCTTGTTTCCTGCGCCCCTTTTGATTAGTTGTGGATTAACAGGACCTTTATGTTTTCCACGCTGCGGCTCAGGTTATCTGCCCCTATTACTAAACAAATGAATTAGTGCCTGGAAATGTGTCATGCCTATTACCTCTCAGCAGAGGCGTAGTGGGCTGGTCAAGCATGCAGGAGCAGGTCACAGTATATTCATGCAACATTGCCTATTGTGTTTCTCTGTAAAGCTTTTTAGGGACGTAGTCTGAGGCCGGTTGTGCTTGGCATATTTCACAGGCCAATTAAGATGTATCAATAACAGCGCCGCTTGGTTATCAGGCACTGTGAGCGCTCATTGATGACGTGACGCCGGCCTTATATATATATATATATATATATATATATATAGCGTCACGTCATCAATGAGCGCTCACAGTGCCTGATAACCAAGCGGCGCTGTTATTGATACATCTTAATTGGCCTGTGAAATATGCCAAGCACAACCGGCCTCAGACTACGTCCCTAAAAAGCTTTACAGAGAAACACAATAGGCAATGTTGCATGAATATACTGTGACCTGCTCCTGCATGCTTGACCAGCCCACTACGCCTCTGCTGAGAGGTAATAGGCATGACACATTTCCAGGCACTAATTCATTTGTTTAGTAATAGGGGCAGATAACCTGAGCCGCAGCGTGGAAAACATAAAGGTCCTGTTAATCCACAACTAATCAAAAGGGGCGCAGGAAACAAGGATTTTTGGGGGGGGGGTATTTAATTGCTTGTACGTTTCAACAAATAAACCTTGAAACCAATTACATGTACTGTTATAGTAACACTCCATTTTGAATAAGTCATACAGCGTAGCAGCGTTGGCTAACGTTGGCTTGTTTACAGTGCAAATCACGCCCGGTGCACATTTCGTGCATGTTAGGGAGGGGCGTGACTTTGGCCAGAGACTACATTCAAATCTTGCTAGCAGTTTAGAACAGCATTCTCATTTAACTTTAGCTTTTAATGCTACTGTGTTGTTGATTGCATCGGGTAGATTAGCACTCTTAAGACAACCAGATGTCCGGACATCCATTACAAACTTTTCAAAACAATGTTGAGACTTAAAATTAAAAAAAATATATACATATATATATATATATGACGTACAGAATTAACCTTCCCCGTGGGTGTCCCTGTGATCAGACTTGTGTTTTTGTTTACGAGCGTCACAAACACCTTTCATATTGTAACTATTATTATGTATTGTGTTGTTCTGGTCTTTGGCTTGGTTAGCCATCCTTGGAGACGGCGTATTTCCCTCATGTATTACATGAAAGACAGAAAGGAAAATGCCCCTCATTGGTCCCAGTTGGTTAAGTGTGTTCCGATCCCTACCAAGGTCTGGATGAACATGAGTCGCACAAAAAAGCCCGTGCCTTCCAACCACACAAGCGCACAATAAAACAAGGATTTGCCTGATGTCTCAAATCCCCAAAGGAGTGACTTGTTTGTGGCGTTGCTGCAGCGGCCTAATGAACGCCAGTGTCAAGGAAATGATCACAAAGCTTTTGAATCCTAAACAGTCAAGTGGTAACCTGCTTTCTGCCAGCATTAATAAGAGTGATGATGAGATGATAGAAAAGTGAGGGCAACGGAGAGGAGAGGGGTTGGAGGTTAAACCCACAACTTTGACCCGCAGAGGTCAAACCGTAAGTGACCCGCTATATCAGTCCATTTAGTGCTCTTCACTCCTTATGTCACGTTTGATGTTTCACCGCATCGTCGCTGCACAGCGGTTACGATTTTTGCCAAGCCCTCCATCCCGTCGTCTTTATCCTTCCATTAATATTATTTCATCCTGTGATCCCCTTCCTCGTTGCGCAGCTCAAAGCCCTCCATCTAATTTTTATCTTCTGCCAAATGTAACGCTTTGTGACTGAGCTTAATTCATATCTTTTCTCCCCCCCCCCCATGTGCATAATAGCCCCCTTTTTGATCTCCATGCTTCACAGTGAAAGTTCACTCTCCTGTTGAGATTATTGTTAATATATCATGATCGAAACATGGCTCTGTATTGCATTATTCGCTCATTTCCAGCTATGTAGCCGGGGAATCTCCATAATTATCGCTGGGCGTGAAAGCAGTTCGTTACGAAACACACCCTCGTAATGAGGGCCTACTGCGTTTCCCTCACCATACTGAAATGGACTGTGTCATATTGTTATTCTGTTTTTCCTCGCGCTCATCTTACCCCCCCCCCCCCCACATTTACATCTCCTCGCTTTCACCATCCCTTCTGCTTCTCTTCTCTTATCTGTCAGCAGATAACTATCATGTGTAGTTTAAAAGGATGATTTGTTGTTAGGCGGGCGCGTGTCAGAATAAGCCGGGGAAAAAAAGCTAAATGATGAAATGAGCGGCGTGAGCGGCGCTGTCTTGTCTGTAATGAATCGTGCGGCGGGTTGAGGGGCGCGCGGGGGTCTCTGTTTTGGTTCCAGTCGGCAGCACAAACACGGACCTCAGGTAGTGCGCTCATCAGTCCTGCTGTTTCTCACCATATGGAGTCAATGATCTGGGAGAGACTCACACACACACACACACACACACACACACACACACACACACACACACACACACACACACACACATTTAGGTAGGTAGGTGTGACTAGTATCCATTGATAATAATGTTTAATTTTTTATTGATGCTGTCACTGATGATATGTTTATTGTTATGCTTGTAGTTTGCATTGGTATGAAATCTCCATGATGTGTGTCTAATATTTGGATTTTCATGTACGGTGGCCCAGTAACTCCAATTTACAGCCACAATAATAAAAATTTAAAAAAGAATATAACAACAACCAAAAATTGTGGCTAGATACACTGAAAATAGTTTTTTCTTAAATTTGTTATTATTTTATTTTGTCTTATTTTGGTTGCATGAAATATTATCAGCTGGAGCCAGATGCATTTTTAAAGTGGACTATACAACAATTTAAGATGTACCTGGATCCAGATGATTTTATTTTGTGCAACCATACTTGATGAAATACAATTGAGTAAATTCAACACACATTTCTTTCACTGTACATAATATTTTAGAATGACTCGGTGAGCCTATACCTGAGCAACATTGTTGTTGAATTTTGTGGTTGCAAGGAATAAAAGCATCTGGCTCCAGATACATTTTTGACTAAATGTATCTGGAGCCAATGATTTTATTTTGTGCAAGCACTTGACAAAATAAAATCGAGCAAATTCACAATATTTTTTTCTGTGTATATCTCCGTGGTTGTCCCCATCTGATGGCCATATAGTGAAACTGCTCCCACCCTCCTCTGTATAGACATGCATTTTCTTGTATCATCAGTTCTGTAGTTCATAATTGTGAAAATATTACAACACATGCCATAATAATGCTGACATTTTTTAAGAAACACGATCAATCGGATAATCTCCTTTTCTTCTCATTCTTTCCAAACACTAAATTGGACAAAAAACCCGCACAAGTACAAATTGAATTAGACGTTCCCGCCTCCGCACAATTGAGATATCTGTTACAGATGATGTACCGTATAATGAATGCCTAATTTATGTAATTAGACCATTAAGCATAATCCGAGCATATGTTCTGAAAGCCCCGAGGTCTTTTTCCAGGTACTCCCTCTGATGCCAGCGCGCACAGAACAACTAATGGAGTGGCACGAGGAACACTTCTGATATCGCCTGTTTGATCACTTATTAGAAAAGAGGAGAAACATGCAAAAAAAAAAAAAAAAAAAAAAACGTCGCGCGTCGTGCGTCCCTCTCCCGGCGCATCGATTTCCACAGTGCGGTTGGCCTTGAAGCAGCGCGAGCGTCGCGTCACACGGGGTAATTTTGGCATTGAGGAGCTCCTTACGAGGACCCTCTGTCTGCTAATTAATTGTCATTCCGCTGAATATTCATACCTTACCATCAGAGCGTCCTTAATTGCACCGTAAAACATCTCCGGGGGGGCTGAAATCACCGCGGACTTAATTAGAAGCGCGGACCTATTGGTTGACTTGGAAATTGTTTTCGCGTGCTCGCTCTCACTCTAATGCACAAGCCGTGACAAATCTTTTAAAAATCCTCACCACTGCGGGCCGGGGGGCCGGGGGGGAGGCAAAATGTACGTTTTGAATATATATTTTCTGATTGGAAATTGAGGTTTTGCAGCAGGCAAGGAATATTTATATTTAACATGTTTTTGTTTTGGGTTTTTTTTACAGAATGTATACGTTTTAGGAGCAAAGTGCATGCACAAACAAATCCCAAATCGAATAAAATAAATGATGCAAACACCGTACATTTAAGACATGAACATATTTCACTATAGGCAATTTTTTTTTGCAAAAAGGAAAATAAATACATGGCTCAGTGAGTAAAAAGCTCAATGTCCCAAATAATGCGTCACCTCCAAATTTGGATTGTGGTTAAATTGCATTGTGAAGCAGCGTGGCTCTGGGTGGCAGCATATCTCAACTGGCCTCAGTGTGTGACAATATTGTTTGGCTATCATTCGCTGCTTTAGGATGAATGGCATCGATCCTCTTTTAACAACATTTGTTTCCTATTGTGTTCGAGGGGGGCGCAGCAGAGGAGGGCAGACGTGTGAAAGTGGCTGTTTGATTCTCTTTTTCATCCCCGTGACCTCGGCTTTTGTGTCTGCTCACCCTGGGAATGTCACGCCTCACTACTCTACTTTAAGATGTTGCAGAGAGTGCCCTTTGTTTTCCTTCCTTTTTTTTTTTTTTTTTTTTTAAAATGATCCAAACGATGAACAGCCTCTGTCATTGTGGGGAGTCTTCATCTTTTGCCACCACTGCAGCACCGCGTACAAGTGCAATGCAATTTGGCTTATCCCAACCTTTGTTCGGCTTTCTCTACAAATGACCAAACATAGTGCAGACTTGATCGACTGCTGCTTGAACTCGGGAGTTTGGGTGCATTCACACTCAAGAGTCACGGTGGTATTTTTTCACTGTGTGCACTGGACTGATATCCCATCAATTTTGGAGCCACACACTTTGTGCGTGACATGAGAAAAAAAATGTTCACGGCGCTTTTTTTTTTTAAACTGCACATAAACAAATACGATTGACAAAGATGAATGATTTCAATGAGGCTAATATGCGTCAAGAAGAATGGCGCGTTCAAGCACACGTGACATTTACAGCATTTGCAGGATAAAATGAGCGTAAATTCCAGATGATGTGATTGACTTTTACGCGCGTGAATTAAACACAAAAGGGCCCCTTTTTTATCGTTTTGGTAAATGCACCAGTGAATGGGTGTCAAAAGTTGTTTATCCATGGCGATGTGTTGTCATTATTCGCACTTCCTTTTGCACAAAACCTTTTGGGCCGAACATTAATAGGAACTGACAGGTGTTAAAAGCCACTCTGCAGGGGAAGGGAACCCCCCCCGGCCCCCCACCCCCCAAAAAAGCACGCTGTTTAAAGATATTTTAAGTATGCACCATCTTGCAACATTAGTTTTCATAAACATTTTATTTCATTATATTTTCTTTTCCAAATGATCTCTGAGATGATGCCCTTCCACGGACATCTTGTGCTTTCTTTCGTTCTTACTTTTTTTTTTTTTGTCCAAAATGTTCCCCGCAATGCGATTCTTTTTTGTAATCCGTCAGACTGGTGATGGGGCGCATTGTGGATTTATTGGGGTGGCGGCGGTGGTGTAGGGGGGGGGGTGAGGTTTTGGAATTAGCATAAATTATGAGCAAATCTGCGTGTGCGTGTGTGTGGTCCTCGCCATTGCAAACCCTCCAAGCGGAAAGGTGGCCCTGGGTTCTCCCCCTTCCCTCCTAAAAAAAAAAAAAAAAAAAAGCTTGAATAGCAGTCGTTCAGAATAGGCTTCCCATTTGGTTTTCACATTCATATAATTGACTTATGGATATTTTATACAGTTTTCCTGCACACCATCTTCAAGGGTTTATTTGCATTCCTGAAGTACTTCTCAGTATGCTTTCCACAAACACAAAGGGGCTGCCTGATTGCCTCGTCAAGTTGGAGTTTGAACAGCATTTGTTTGCATTGGGTTGTAATGTTTTCACACCGTCCGCTTCCCCCGAAATGTTTACAGTGCGTTTTTGTAAACAATGAAACAATACATTAATCCCTTTAATAAAATAAATAGGGATGAGGAAAAAAAACAATCATTTATTTTAATGTTAATGTGATTCATTTAAACATTTTTTACACGTGTCTTGTTTAAAATGACCGTGTTATCACCATGCAAAATACACGGACTGAAATCAACTGAAAGTAACTGATACACACGGGCCGTTTCACATCCGTCGGAAAAAAACAATGCGGGCGCATTTGCCCTTTAAATGAATACAAAGTAAAACTTCTGCCGCCGTGTCATGTCAAATATCGGTGCAAGTGTCAAGCATAAGAGCATACCTCCACACACTGAGTGCCATCGCCGTTCAATTCCGGCTGCCGAGCCTTTTCACCCCTTTTTCTGTCTTCAAATGGAAATGATTTCCATTGGCCCAAGGTGTCCATGTAAATAGGTGTAAATGAAACCAGATTATGCCTTCCTCCTCCTTCCCTCCGCCCCTCCCTCCTCCTCCTCCTCCGCCTCCTCCCTCTCCACCTCCTCCTCCCATGGCAATTGTCATGTGATAGCAAAGAGGTGGCACATTAATGGAAGCTCCTCGGCGGGGGTCTTTTCTGCTCATGTCACGACATAAAACTATCAGATGGTTCGAGGAGGGCCATGGAGGCATCTTCCACTTAGTCCGGGACGCCCCGATGAAGTCTTGTGAGCTCCTCTAGCGGGACCAAGCTGAGAAAAGACGTCCGAGCAAGCAAGCCGCCCCACTTTCTGTCGGCGCACGAGCTGGGAAAACAACTCCTGCATGAAGAAACTCGCACCGAGGAATTAAGGGTGACTACTTGTTTCTTTGCGTGTTTTTTTTCGGGGGGCGGGGGGCTGTTGTTTTGAAAACTGTCTCGAGGATGCCTCGTCCGGGGAGAAACACGTACAGCGACCAGAAGCCTCCGTATTCGTACATCTCTCTGACGGCCATGGCCATCCAGAGCTGCCCGGAGAAGATGCTCCCCCTGAGTGAAATCTACAAGTTCATCATGGATCGCTTCCCTTACTACCGAGAAAACACGCAGCGGTGGCAGAACTCGCTGAGGCACAACTTGTCCTTCAACGATTGCTTCATCAAAATCCCCCGGCGCCCCGACCAGCCCGGCAAAGGCAGCTTCTGGGCGCTGCACCCCAGCTGCGGGGACATGTTCGAGAACGGCAGCTTTCTGAGGCGACGCAAGCGCTTCAAGGTGCTCGGCGCTTCCGACCACCTGGCCCCCAGCAAGCAGTCGGACGCCGCCCACTACCTCCAGCAGCAGGCCAAGCTGCGGCTGAGCGCCCTGCAGGCGGCCACCGGCACGCACCTGCCCCAGATGTCCACCTACAACCTCGGGGTGTCCCACCAGACCTCCACCTTCAAGCACCCGTTCGCCATCGAGAACATCATCGCCAGAGAGTACAAGGTCCCCGGGAGCTTGGCCTTCTCCACCATGCAGTCCATGTCGGCCGGCTACCCGCTGCACAACCAGCTCACCTCGGCCTGGCCGCACGTGTACAACAGCGGCGTGATGGACACGGCGGCGCCCATCCCCATGGCTCCAAGCGACTACAGCGCCTACGGCGTGCCCATCAAGTCCCTGTGTCACGGGGCGCAGACTCTACCGGCCATCCCGGTGCCCATCAAGCCCACGCCGACCTCCATGGCCGGCTTCTCGGCGCTCCCCCACCACCTGCCCGCCTTCCTGTCCAACTCGCCACAGTCCCTGAGCCCGACTTCGCCACAGACTGCCACCAGCCAAAGCAGCCCCGCCACCCCCAGCGAGACGCTCACCAGCCCGGCGACGCTCCAGTCGGTGGCCGTGCACTGACCAAACGGATCAGACTAAACGAAACTGCTGGTTTAGCGAACCCAAAGTTTATATATCTGTCGTACGTCGGACTCTATTCAAGGCGAGTTGCTTATTGATTCACTTGTGTATATGTTGAATGTGTCGCTTTAAATCGTGTCCTGAAAAAAAAAAGTCCAGCACAGAATTTCGCAGTATTGCTCTTCAAGAAAATCTAAATTATTTGAAAAGTTCACATTGACTTAAACGTGTTAAGGAGGGGCGGGGGTTGTAAGGCCCTAAATGGGTCAATAGGTTTCAGTTTTATACTCGCAAAACTTTTGCACACTTTTCTGTGCGGCCACTGTAACGTCAATGACACTGACGCTTTCCTCGAATAATGGAGTAATGGGCGAGGGTATACCAAATAGACTAGATTTATTTCCCTGTTTAAAAAAAAAAAAACAATAACACAAAAAGAAAAAATCATTCCAATATCGAAAAATCTAAATGTGACGTGCTTAAAAATGCAAGATGTGAATATTGCAAATAACTGAAACGGAAATGTTGTAAAATGCACTTTTTAGTTATACGTTTTAGATATCTATTTTCCAGAAAAAAATGTGTTCCGTGAAACATTTAATTTAAAAAGGCTGTGGTGACCACGTGGATCAGTTGCTGTAAATTTGTACGTTTTCTTTTAAAGGTGAAGCATGCATTCTAAGCTAAAATAAAAGTGTTAATGTTCATGTTATTGTTTTTCCCCCGTTTCTTTTTGTTTTTGCAAGCATGCGTGCTTTTGAAAAGTGTGCAAATATTCTGCAATGAATTGGGAAAAAAAAGGTCATCCAAATATTTTCTCATTAAAAGTGAAGCAAACAATCAAAATGTTTCTTGTTATTATTACTATTTGTCATTTTAGTCGGGTTGAATAGATCGAACAATTCGCCCGCATTATTATTCTCAATAATAATTCCTACGATTATTGTGCTTAAGTGGCATCCCCAACCTGTACGATTGGAGAGTGGGCGATTTTTTTCCTCGAAGCAGCAGACAGACATGATTTGTGCTGCCCATTAGAATGCACGGTGCAGCCATGGCATGGCCACAGCGCAGACAAGTGCGCTCATTCATCAAGCTGCGCGGAGCTAAATAAAGAGGGGAAAAAGTCCAACAATAAAGATTTCGACAAGCAATCTGCACCCCGGATTTGCACCACGTTTAACAACCAACTAATGGAATAAGTGACATTTTGCAGGTAATGATGCACGCACATTTTTTTTTCTCTCCGTTTGCACGTTGGGCGCAGTTTAAAAAAATACACTTTCGTTACATTTATACGCGACGTGCATTTGTTGAATTCGATTTTATTGTTCTGCGTTATTTCAAACAAATCGGTCAGATCGTCAGTCCATCGTCGGGCATTAAACAAATACATTCCGTCACTTTGTGCAATGGACTAGATCAAATAAAGGCGATCGGGCCACTTCATTCTGCTTCATTCACTCGGATTGAAAGTGCAAAGAATAGGCAACTTCAACTGGGCCACCAATGTAGATTTAGCCTTTTTCAGCAAGACAAAAAGCCAGATTTTTTTCACAAACACATTGCTGACTGGGGAACTAGGAAACGAGCTGCGAGACCCTTTTGGAATTTAAATCCAACCCTCCCCCATGGACTGTTTGTACAACAGTGTCAGTTTTTTTTTCGACTCACTTTTGTGTTGTGTGGGCAACATTAAGTCCTGATTGATTGCTGATGTTGGAACCGGGACAAGACATAACAACCTTTTATTTTTTACTGAATAAGCCAAATACCTAAAACACCCCAAAACAATTAGGAATCAATTGAAATGCAATGTCCCCTCATTATCTACAGACAGAAAACAAACAAAATGTTTGTTTTTAGTATCGCCATTTTTTTAATAGTCAAAGCAGGGTTTGTGTATATTATGTAGAATTTAAAAAATGAAACTCGACTTTTACTACCATATATTTTGCAAAAATAATGTGGTGTTTTACAGGCTGGTAAAATGCCAAGGTACCAATTATTGTAAATTCGCGCGCGCGTGCGTGCGTGTGTGTGTGCGTGTGTGTGTGCGCGCGCGTGTGTGCGTGTGTGTGTGTGTGTGTGTGCGCGCGCTGTGTTTTATTTATATATATATATATATATATATATAAAATTGGCGCTCTTTTTTCAAAGTTTTGGCATTTGAGAAAAAATAATCTCTGAATGAAAATACGTAGCATAAGGGGAAAAAATATTTCAGGGATGCAAATTGGGAAGAAACAGGTGTGAAGGAGAAAAAAAAGGGTTTAAGTGTCAGTGGAATGACTGAGATCAAAATGAATAAATAGGCACACCTGTAGCAACAATGCTTTGACCTATATTTCCTTTTTCTCGTGTTATTAATTCTGTGAAAAAGCAAAAGTCAACTCCTGATGTAACTTTTAATTTGATAATTCCCCCGCCGGTGTTGTTGGCATTGTCCTTGTTGCTCCACAATGTTCGAAGACAACGACGAAGGTCATCTCCAGTGTGGGATGAAATATAGACAGCACGCAAAAAAAAAAAAAAAAAAAAAACGCCAGCGTTGTCGTTTAATTAAAATAATTCATTAAAGTGGAGGCCCAAGGTAATTAGCATGTATAATTTATGATTAGCTTAATGCATGCGGACGGTGGCCTCTGCAATAAACTCAACTTAACCTCAAGTACGAGGGGAACTGATACAGACGGGGCTGTTGTTATTTACTATGTGTTTATTGTTTGGCTATTTGTCAAGAGGATGCGAGTGTTTCGTAAAACCTGCCCGTTGTCTGGCTCTCTCAAACAATTTATTTGTTTATGGGTTTATCTTGTGGATTTATGCTCACACCAAAAGGAAAACTGTCAGATATGTAATGAAGGGGACGTACTGGGTATTACGCCCCCCCCCCCACCCCCACCCCCACCCCCAACCCCTAACCCTAACCCTAACCCTAACCCTAACCCTAACCCTAACCCTAACCCTAACCCTAACCCTAACCCTAACCCTAACCCTAACCCTAACCCTAACCCTAACCCTAACCCTAAACCCTAACCCTAACCCTAACCCTAAACCCTAACCCTAACCCTAACCCTAAACCCTAACCCTAACCCTAACCCTAAACCCTAACTCCAACCGTCCTCAACATACTATAGATATGTTTACCTGCTGGTCACCGGAGTTGAAAAACAGTTCACGCTCGACGCTTGACGGAATGAGGACATCCACAAACAGCGGCAGGTATAGCTCGCCCCGTTTTCCCCGCAGCAGGCTGTCAGTGCTGACTTTTTAAGGAAAAAGGCAAAAGTAATCACAAATGGACACCACACTATTATCCTCTGCAAATGTGTCAAGTGTGGGCAGGAATTTGACATTTTCAAACATGCCTTCTGGCTGTTTTAATTTCTTGCAAAGCTTTTTTTTTTTTTTTTTTTTTAAACGACCAAAGTTAACCAAATATTTTCCCTTGGAGCAGTATTGTAAACAGATATAGTCGTTCATGCCCCGTTTTGATAGATAGAATGGAACACCCACTTTGCATCTATGCTTGCATAGACGACGACGCTGCGGAATGTGCGCTGGCGAAACCCTATGCTGTGTGTGTCAGCTTTTTATTGAAACTGACAACATCAAAATGACCCAAGAAGGATCTGTTATCATCACCGTCAGTGTTCCCAGACTAAATACATTACATGGCAGTGAGGGGAGGGCAAAGGGCAGGTGAAGTGGGTAGCTGGGAGGAGAGGCAGGGCAGGGCGCAAGCTTTCGTGGGCTGGCTCAGCCAAACACCCGTGTGTGCATGAAATTAGAGTGTCAACATCTGATTCATGCTGCTTGGCTGGTGACTGTGAAACAAATTATATCAGCGGGGTGGCAAAACTCCACGGCGGCAGCAGACAGTGGACATCATCAAAGATTCTGACTTGGTGCATATTCTCATGATTTCTACATGAGTACATGTTCTTATAAGAGTTGGAATCTTGACAAAAAGTTAAGAGCTATTTTATGGTCGCACTCGACTAATTTATAGAAACCAGAGTGTCAAAGTGTTTGGTATCCTGCATGTTCCACAAATGAGGCAGTTACCGGAAATCCTAATGGGATGAAACCCAATGCGATACACTTTTGTACAATTTATAATCAAGCATTTCAAACGTTTACATCAATAATTGTCACACAAATGTATGATTCTAAGAATTTATCGCGTAAACTACTCCATCCTAAAAACACTTTATTCTATTCTTTCAGAGTTTTAGGCAACTGAAAATGTTAATTTTGGAAAATGCCAGCCAGATAAAATGAGCGAAAACTAAATCATCTTCAATGTGTAAATTGTAATAATACATTTTTTGGGCTTGTCTACTTCAGGTAACATCACATTTTTTTACTTAGCTCCTATCTTGTCAATTTAAACTTTATATAATTTATTTCACTTTTCAATAGTGATGTGTGCGCACTAGGGTGGTCCATTTTGGAAAAGTTTGTCGGATTCGTCGGGCCGGGTCGGAAATCTTGTCGATACTATGACACAAGGATGTGTGCAAAATTTTATTCCGATCGGATAATTTTATCCCGTCCCGCAGAGCGACCAAAGTTTCCCCTATGGAAAGAATGTTACGGGGCTGAATGGTAGTACGGTTTCTCCCGTACAGTAAGGATTTTGTTTTGCTCAGTTCGCACTTGCAATAATTCAAAGACGGAAGACAGGAACGCATGTATTGCAAAAAAGGCAACCGTGGTTATCCTTCAACACTGGTGAGATTGTTGGTCCATGTTAACTGGTCCATCTGTCTATCTGTCCATCTGTCTATAATGTCCATCAACACTAGTGACACTGTTAGACCGCAAAAAAAACGAAATCCGCCGTGCGTGCCATCCCATGCCTACTTCGCGCACGGGTGCAACGCCCGGTGTCGCTCCACGACCTGCAGAAGGTGCTGTCGCTGTTCCTCGTCGCGCGTAACGGCGCCGCAGAACGCGCTGATGAGGGCGACGCCCCTCTCCGCAAAGTCGTTCACCACCCGTAGGTGACGAGCGCGCCGACGAGCAGTGGTGAAGGCGTCCTCAGCTCAGCGTCCAGTAAGAATGCCGGCTATTCTCGACTTCAATTGAAAGATATTAGCTCGCCAGTAGGTGACCGTTGTGTGTTAGGCGTGCGTTTGAGTTTGTCTCCGGCTGCTGAGAGCAGCGATGGAATGGTTAGTTAGTCAGGAGGTGATCGTTCGGGCAACATTCAGCCCAGCCAGTGTCACGCATGGCAAAATACACGGTTAAAATACACGTGTTCACCCTATTGAGACCAGTTGTTATGGTGGAAACTTTGGCCGCTTTGCGGGACAGGAAAATATCATCAGATCGGAATGAAATTTTGCACAGAACCTTGTACCATAGTATCGACAAGAATTCCGACCCGGCCCGACGAAT